AAAAGTCACGCAGTCTTGAGTGTTTAATTTTACTTCACCAACAATATGAAAAGGTCCTACTTAAATGTCATACTTTAATGACATTCAAATGCACTTTGATTTAATAGAGTTGGTCATTTTAAATTAACTAATTGTAAATTCTGACAGACCACTACTAAAATGAAAACAATTACAAGGTTGTTAATGTGAAAGTTCAGACCTATCTACTGTATACACACTGAATGGCCATATCAATTCACAAAGCACAACACAGATGAAGCCCACTCAGCATCTGGGAAATGATCTATTGCCTCAACAATTCTGAATTGACTATGTCCTTGCATTTGTAATGTGTTCCAGTTAATTCAAGCATATATACACACAAATGCAGCTACAAATCAATAAACAAATCAACATTCGAGGTCCACTTATTACTTGATAAGAGCATATCACTGAAACCAGTGCATGCATACATTTTTTAAATCAGCTCCTAATGAAAAATCCTTCCTCCAAAAAAAACATTTTAACTGCACTCCAGAACACTGAACTCCAGAAGTTGTTCAGAAAAACAGTCACATTATGTAGGCTGTTCTCAGCAGGAAAAGCCATTAATGCTGAGCAATAATTTGAAAACCCATCTCACAGCACCTTGGTAAGGTACTATACAAAATAGGTTCACAAGCCACACTGCACACCCACATAATTACAGCAAAGTGCTAAAATACATCTCAAATCAAAACATCTCTGCCCACATTTTTTAATTAAAACAGAGCTCTAACCACTCACTCTTTCAGTTCAGATGGAAAACACATTACTTTGTGCCAGGTGAAAAGATTTTCACTGTTTAGTCTCCTGCTTTCAATGAACCAAACAGGCAAGAGTTATTACTCAGAATAATACAACAGAGCCAGAAACTTATCAAAGGCCTGTAGAACACTTGATAAAAGCTCGTTTATCTTAAAGTTCTTTGATTATTCTTACCTGGAAAAGTAAACTTGAAAGATACAACTGCTTCACAGCAGGGCTTAAAAGTTAGGAGAACACTCCGACCCACAAAGATTTTGACATACACATCTGTAGGCAACATTGACTGCTGTTTTCTTAATATTTCATCTTTTTATACTGCTGCTTTCTCTAGACATGTAGTGTGAAGTACTACTTTTATTGACACCTTTTTATACCATTGATACCATTTCATAGAATTCATGATATGCTCTGCTGTAGGTCTGTTTTGCCATCACAATCAAATGATCTTTGTGGAAAAAAAAGACTTTCTGTATTCCAACCGCTATAGAAGATTAACCAGATGTGGCTGCAAAGGAAGGAGACATTTGACTAGAGCAGCAGCAAAGAATGCCGTGAATCTTTTGTGCTGGGAAGATTTTATCAGGCTACTCAGTCGTCAAGCGTCAAAGAGCTTTAAGAATTACCACTCTGCTGTCTGCAATTTTTGTCCTTTTGAAGACACTTTAAATTGAACCATTTCCATCACTGACGAACCCACACAGCTTCTGTGAAGAATAGGCCAAATGTTTTACATCTCACTTGCTAATCAATGCAAGAGTTACTAGCCTTTAAAAATGTAACTTTCATGTCAAAATGTACCTTGAATGAAGCAATGAAGCAAGGGGCAGCAGCATTTTGTTCCTGTGCCAATGTCTATTGGCAAACCACATTTCCATAGGCCTTGTTAATAGGCATTTCCCCCTTTTTAACTGCTCCCTCTCCTCCTTTATGCCAAAACCGATCTTGATCTGAAAGCTACTTAGCTATGAAAAGGAGCGGCTGTTTGCTCTGCCCCATCATCAGACTTGTCCATGACATGCGTCACATTGTACAGGACACTTAACCTCAAAAGAAGACAAGTACATGATCTATAATTAATAGTGACTGATGAAGAGTTCTGGTGGCCTTAGATGACAGCAAGGAACCCAAAAGCTGTCCTAAACACAACTGCCTGCGAATCCCGAAAATTCACATGGGAAATGTAGGGGGACAGTTAGCCCTTCTGTTGCTGGGTCTGATGCTGCCATTGCATCTGATATCTGCCAGCCTGAATTTAACAGGGTTCCATCCCCTGCTCACACTGATTGAGATAAACGGCCCCTGTCCACAGACTGGCACAGACTCACTGCTATTTGTCTGATGCCACTGTAATTAGAAAGATACAAGCAGCAAGCTACTGAGATAAAACAGTCCATTTGAGGCAGTCTGACATAGCTTATGGACTGGCGCAATGCAAAGAAAGGAGAATATCAAGATGGAAAATTACAAAAGCAACTAACGGCATTGTAACAATGCCAGAATTAAGTGTTGTTGCCCAACTGCAGTCTAACACACTGCCATTCAAGTCAGCTGTTTGAAACAAAACGCATAAACACCAGAAAAAAACTTTTAAAACAAAAATTACAAAGGCGATAAAAGTGTATTGTTTCAGTATTCAGAACAAACACAGCTGAACAGCAAATTTCATTCTCCATGAAGGCTGTTATAAAGAGAATATGCAAGAAGTGTCAAAAGTCAATAGTAAAGCCTGTCTTGTAAAAGAGCAGAACTCTTGGTAACACTCACCTTCCATAGCACTAGATTCAAAGGTTGACGGTTAACATTGGGTTCAACTCTTAATATTTCACAGAAGAATGTTAGGGGAAATGATTACATAAGTATTATGTATTATACTGTGTATTAATATAGTGTATATTTCTATAGTATATATATATATGCTTTACACAGGTTACATACATACAGCAAAGGCATGTATGCTGTACACATCTTATATCACACACACTGCTGTACAAGTGTCTTTTCACACAATGCTTTCCCTATGTAGAGATCGTCTACTGAATGTTTAGCCATTGTTTTCAGGTAACAGTACTCATATATTTTGCAGTTCAAAAATGGCCTGTTATCGTTATGGATGTCTAAGAGAGGAATAAATGGTATTAGTGATGAGGAACACCTGACCAATAGATTGCATTGGTTAATCTGATGGATTAGTGACCAAAACCCATCATATTAGCTCTGGTCGTGTAGATTACCTTAAATCTTTCAGATTTTGACCAATATGAACTCGAAATGACAAGCTTACTTTCATCTCACCCAAACTAAGATGTATTCATAAAAGTTGAAGTAAACAGTTATAATATCAGAGAAGGCTAGTGGAGGCTTAGATCAAATTGCTAATGCTGTAACATACATATACTGCAACTTGATTGTGTTTATGACATTTAAGACTTTTGCTCAGCACTTTTTCTATAATTCATATGCTCTGTTCAGGTATGACATGCATTAGTACAACAGCCAAGTGGAAGAGACAGATCTTTGGTTTGGCTGCCAACTAAATAAGTGAAAAGCTAGAGTGCATTTTTCACTGCTGCTTCAATGCACTCTTCCCCCACTGATGTGTCCGTCTGTACTGTGAGGGCAGGGCTAGACTAAAGAACACTGCAGTAGTACTATTTATCCTTAAAAAGTGTCAGATAAAGTTCAGACAAGGGCCACTGCCACACTACAGTGCAGATTGGGACAAGCCCGAGAAAAGCAAAGCTTCGTGTAAAGACTGGCAGGGGTAGATTAGGGCGTCTGGCAACAGTGGCTGGGAAAGTGGCCCCCAGCTGTGCTGGGCCCAGGCAGGGATTGTCAAGATGTGACAATGAATTCCACTCTAATTATAGCACTGTCCTAAAAAAGGAAGCCGTTTTGTCCGTTCTAATGAGGCTACTGATGTTGTAATGAAGATCATTTTCAAAAGGACTTGCAGCAGCCGGCCGCCGAACCCGCCTCCGAGCAAAGGAAGTACAAGGAAAAACAGCACAGCCCTGTGTTTGTTAGGCTTGTGAAGCCACGGCATTTATAGAGCTGTCAGAAGACCCTGGATATCAAGGCTAAAAATGTATACAGTAGTAAGAACCAGGAAAGGATTAATTAACACATTTTCACTTCAGTTGCCTTAACTTTCTACACCCAGAGATGTACAACTGTGAGACTATTAAGTCCTGTGTTCTCATTACTGAAAAATCCTTACTATCATCACTGATATGTCTACTAAAGTAGGACATTGCATCTGTTAAACCCACATTTCTTTGATTCTAATCCTGGAGTCCATAAATGCTACTTAAAGTAATTAGTATAATGTAATTAGTAAAGCTAATCAAGATGCAGAAGCACACTAATATGCAAACTAAGCCTGTTTTGTGAATTCAAATGTTCTCTCCTCAGTGGGTAAGAAAACAATTAATCTTTTTCATGTCCACACAACTGGGTTCCTGATTTTAGGAACTATAAGAGAAATAAAATTGCAGGTTGTAAACCTGAGTGAGGTCGAGAAGGTTAAACTGCAATTGCTCAAACGAATTGCTTCCTGAAAACAAACAAGCAGGCCTCACCTGCCCACCTGCTGTACTCCAGTGACCAAAGCAGACACAGCCTTTCAAGCTGAACTGTGCTGCTTTGATTTTTCCAGATTAATTAAGCAGATACCAGCTGTGTATTGAGGCACACCGGGAACCACGCTTTTAAGAGCACGGCCTCGCTTGTGCAACACTGCTTTAGAATAACTGACAAAAACCTCATTCCTTCACTGTCCTAAACCTGGCTTGAGCCCTGCAATCTGACAGCAACTCCATCATCTGTAAGAAGCTGCTCTGTTGCATTTTCTTTATGCAGCCTTGGTTGTTTCACAAAATTGGAAATTATGTGCATAGGACAGCCCACTCAGCAGAACACATTTTTCTAATTTCTCTAATTTCTCTAATTTTTTAACATTCTCTTTTCACACCAGCAAACATCACTAATGCGTTCCTAAATCATACTTTCCTTCTATCATCTCTTACACCTCATTCTCCCTCTTCTGTTTTGAAGTTTATACATTAACCCCAGACAGAAATTAAAAACCCTTCACATACAAAACACATCCTTTATATGCATACAAGCATCTTCAACATTTACTAGAGTTGGACAATTACCCAAAGCAAATGCATACTGTACATTTATTTAGATCAGCTTTGAAAATATCTACTTACCTTTCCCAGTACTGTTAGACAGCTTGGATCTAACTCTGGCTGTTCAAGCTTGACGACACCAACCCAGCCATATTCATAGAGGTCCTCTTCATCGTTATTGTTACATAGTCCCAAAGGGTGCATCTACAACAGGTAGACAAAAATAGAAGATGAGCCCGTTTGCTGCAATGTTTCACTGAGTAATACAGGGCTAGCCTGTATTACTAAGAACCAGACCAGATGAATGCTAAACATGAAAACATTAAATTGGAAAACAATGAAGGCTTAAATACAGTGTCAAATGCTGTGAAATATGCAAGGCAAACAATAATTCAATTTTGCCTGAGTTTATAGTGTGTGATGCACAGTATGTCAGCTGCTATTCAAGGTACATCCTGTGGAAGCCTGAATTACAGCAACAATTACGTGTCTTTCTGAAAATAACAAAAGTCCTCAAAACTGTTCACAGTACCTCTGAACCCTCGTGCTTCTGCTCTAACTGAAGTGGTGACGTAGAGGTGCGGAGGTGGCCAGGGCTATGAAATTTTAAACCAATTTTTTTTTGCTATTGATTTGCATGCACCCGACAATTAGGCTCCTCTGCTTCTCTCATCAAACATGGATTTTAAAAGCAAGGCACCACAAAGCATGGACATTAAAGCAAAAAAAAAAAACAATATAACTGGCCCACGTAACAAATCTGAAATGAAATACGGCTCTTATTTTAAAAAATAAAAACATATCATAGAAAGAAAAACTTTTCAGGTCCTCATGTACATTCCAGTCGGAGCCTAGAGGGACATCTAAACTGTACCCCTTGTCTCTGACCACCCTCTCCTCTTTGTCCCGGTGCTAATTACCCTTAATTTCTCCACAAATCACATCAAATCCACAGAGAATCTTCACCTGGGAGATAGGCTATAGGGAATGGCAGACACGAAAAACACTGACTCATTGGTAGGACTAGATTGCATCAGATCTATACTTCAGCATATAAATATACTTTTTACTCGTATTTCCAACCTAGAGATGTATAATATAACAAGACTAAACTTAAGGTGTTGAGAGGATGACCGCATACATGAGCAATCTACAGACACAGTGAACAGCATGTAAATAAGACCACACAGATGTATCCTTCAAGTAAGAAATTAAGAACCAATAATAATGGCTCCTGAACAAAGTATCCACATGTGCCGCATAAAAGCTTATCCATACTTACTGTAAGTATGTGCTGTATTAATCTGAGAGCATGATTCCTATATTTTTCATTATGCCTTAGTTCAAAGAAAATGCCTGGGCTAAATTAGCAAAATCCCCAAAATCTAAAGTCTCTTGGTCCTTATTTCCTTAATACACAATGCAGAAGAGCCCAATGTGTAGCTAGACAATAGTAATGCATAGAACTACCAATATGATGCTCCCTACTGTTAAAGCACACAGGGCACTGCTGTAGACATGTCTTAATAGCTTCTGCCCTTGAAGAACACAGGCATTTTCATTAATTAATGTAAGGCCGAACAAGAAGGTTCACAAGAAACACTACTTCGGGTGATGAAAATGCAAACAGTGAAACACTTTGTTCAGCTGAAAGTTATACACCACAAGCTGACCAAAAATAAGGCCTCTGTTAGCACAGAGTCTTTGCAAAATGTGTCCGAAAATTACTCCGACAAAGAAAAGGCGGAAGTGCTTTTAAATCTACAGAAAAAAATGCAAAAGCCTTTGCTCGCTAAAGTGAACAGGAGAAAAATCACCAAACAACATCTGGCAAATAAAAAAGTAGGCAATTTTGCCATCTGATGGAACAAATTGGATTAAATCTTCTGTTATTTCTAAAGCAGATTAATGGCTAAAGCAGCCTTCTGTTCCAAGCCATTCATTGCCCTCCCTGCTTAAAGAACACAAAGTTACTGCATTTGCATTAAAGTTGCCAAACTGACCTGTTCTCATTTATCCTATTAGCCCAGTGACCAAACAGTCCCCCTCCCTCCCAATAAACCAGCTTTGTAGCCCTGGCGCCAGAACAGCCCTCTAGCCTTAGGGCTCCGATTGACCCCTGATGCCCTTTCCATCTCTGACCCCTTGACCCTTCTCTATCACTTTAAAGCTCATTGGGAGTGCAACAAGCCAATTGAAAAGGCATTCAATGACTGGCCGATTCCAAAGAGTCCTCATCTCCTTGCTCACCATTATGAACTGTGCCTGTGATCCACCACCTGAGACACATCATTTTCATACTGGAACAGAATGTTATTTTTTCAACCACTGAAACAGAGAAAACCGCAGTAGTACAGCACACCATTTGCTCTTTGGTACTTTACACTTCCCTTTCAACATTCTTCCTATCTCTGTCAGAAGGAGTACCAGAGTGAAGTGTAATGTCTGTGAAGGGTTTGTAGAAGAATCCATTTCCAGCAATTTCTTGCTTTACAATAAAATTAATCCGTCTACGAAACAGCTCTTACAATTGTACAAGTTTAAGATATCCAACAGCTTACTTATACAAGTTATATAAACCCCTTAAGCATAAAATCTGAAACACCCCAAACTGATATGAAGTGAAAATCCCCTGTTTTCCTTGGGTAAATATGCATTAAAAGATTCTCAAGCACTCCTCAAGAGCTTAGAAAACCACTTAATATATCAAATCATTACAAGTAAAGGAGGGGAGACATTTTGCATTTTTCCTACGTTTTATTAATTACCCAATTAATACAAATAATATATGATTAAGGTAGCTTTGTGTTTTTGCCACCTAGTGCATACACAAAGAGAAAAGAGACATGAGAAAAAATAACAGCAGTACAATAATACCAACTTTATATTGCATTTATAATTCGTCCATATTAAACAGTAATTATTTTTTTACATTTATTAGCATTTAGTGACAGGTTCTTGAGGGCAAAGTAAAGAAAAAATAAACAGGTTGATGTCATGCATTTTAAGGTCTGCTGCATTAAAATTACTAGGCATATTTGGTAGATTAATTCAGTGGTTAGGTTTTTTTCTGATTTATCTTCTCAATTTAAAACAAGGCCCAATAAAACTTCATTCTTGCAGGCAGTTTCTGCTTGTTTCATTAAAAAAAAGACATTAATGAACACCTTTGAGGCACACAACAAGTAAACAACATTTAATCCAGATATCCATTTCCAGACCTTCCAGATGTTCCCAGGAATGATGGTAGATATTCGAGGTCTCAGACATACAATAAGAATACAAAATAATTTGATCCCAGCACTTATTCTCAATAATATATCATATTCATTGTCCCATGTCTGTGTTTAAGAGGGGGTTACAGATTACTACTGAAAATAATATTAACAGGTATTATTTACATTAGGATATGATTTTCAACTTAAAGGATCCCACATGTTCTTACATAAAGGAGACTGACTTCATCCACCACTGAAGTGCTCATCTGCATGCATTACATACCACTCCGTATGATTTACATGAGCAGATCTGCACTGCACAGCAGATCAGGTGAAGAAGTGAGATGATGCTTCACCAGCTGAATTAAGGGGGAGTTTTAGGGAGGCCATATTGTGCCCCGTTACCATACTGGTTTATCTTTTTGGAAATTCTGGTTCCAAGGGAAAGGTGCCACCTACAACTCATCAACACGAGATCGCCAAGCAATCTGGTTATCACTGGACGTTGCCCACCCCAGGACTTCCAATGTCAGGTATTGCTTAGCTTTTGGGATCTGGCAAAATCCGCCTATTAAGTGGAATCTCTGCTATCCAAAACGACCAATTCTTAGGACAAGAAGTTAAATTTGACAATCAATCACAAATTCTGTCATTTACCAAAGCTGGTAAAAGTATTCAAGAAGCATAACATTCAACCTGCACCTTGAATATTAATGATCAACACTTCTGAGTTTTCTATGTTTAGGATCATTAATATCATATAAACATTTATTAAAATTACTCAACCCAATTCCAAGAATTTCCATCTGAAGATGGCTTTGAGGATGCAGAATAAAGACTGAGAAGGCATAGAAAATTCTTAACTTAATTCATGCTCAGTATATTTTTAGTATGCCTACAGGTAAGTGGTACCAATCTTTTGCATAAACAAAAAAAATTTGCTTGGCTGGCATCTGACCGAAACTCCTTTCCTCCTACAGAGAAAGCTCAGTAAAAAGCTACATAACGTGCATTTAAAAGACGACTAATTATGCAATTTGACGTCCTTAAACCCAGCACTTTGGGCACGTGATAAAATGGGTTGCATAGTCCTTGTAATGTGAGGGAGTTTATTCAAAAACTCAACAACAAAAAAAGCGAATTGCCAAGAAAAAACATGAAGGCTTCCGACTCAGTTGGAGCAGACCACAGGAAAACCATTTAGATTGAGAGATTCCCCCCACACACCACCACCACCAAAATCTGTTGCCTATGTTGCACTTTTAGGGTCGATTAAGCAAAGGACACACCTGCGCACACAGAGCAGGCAAAACAAGGATCGTGAAATCAAATTTACAGAACCTGCTGATTGCTCCTTTATGCTTTTGTGCAAAGACTGCAGGAACCTTTCTGCAAATCAAACAAAGATTAAGCCCATTTCGGAATCCGAATATCAACAGCGGAGGGGGAGGGAAGGGAGGGGGTAAACATGAGGAGGCCAGTTGGCCAATGGAAAAAGGGACAGGAAGTAAACAGTGCTATGACCTCTGGCTTCCAGTCTGATAGAACGCTATGCAGCTCCGCCTGCCTTCATGGTCCGCAAACACTGCTCTATTGTGCTTACCCTCACTTGGAAAGGTTTTTTTTTTAGAAGCTAGTTGTTGCACTATCATTGGGTGACTGATCTATTTTTTTTTAATGGGTCAGCTGCCACGATTCAGAATGCTAAAACGCCCTGAAGCAGAACCTTCAGGGACTGGCCTGGCTCTGAGGTACACCTTGTTAAACATTTTCCACTTCTTCTTGTACACCGGATGCTTGAGTCCCTTGTTTCATCAAATGGCTTCTCCCCCCCCCTCTCTGCAACTCCCCAGCTATCCCTGCAAGGCCTCACTGACAGATGAATGATGATCGCTGTGTCACAGGCTTCTCTGGCCTGTCCTCCTCCTTCTACTGCTGCAAGGGGTGTCCCCTGGTTTTCCAAGCCTCCATTCCTGACATGCCTGA